AACCAAAGAGAACAATGGATGGAAAAACGTACATCTGAGGCATTGTTTTCTGAGAAAATGCACGTGGTATATGAAAAGTAATATGAGCCTCAAACTCCTGTGGTAATACAACCTCTACAGGCAGGCATTACGACAATAGGACTAAATTCTTTGAAGTGGCTGAAGGACACAAAGCTGTATGGTGGAAAAGAAAAGACCTGTTGATAGGGTTCCTTTGGCATGTACCTGATTAATCCTCTCGTTTCACATTCCTCCCCAGCAGTCAGCTGAACGACAGAGTGGGGGAATTAGTTCCCCTTGCTCTCAAAGCAACCTAATTCCTCAAGGAAAATGAAGGGCTTTAGCTAGGCAGCAAGGCAAATAAAACACATTCTTTCCAGTTAAGCAAAACTGTGTACCTGCAACAATGACTGTAACATTAAAAACACATGACAAGTAGCATATATCCAGACTCTAAAACAGGTTGAAAAAGGACATGAAAAATCCCCCAAGCTGTGAACAGCAGAACTAACGAAACACAGGATCATAAACAACTTGTGTCTCAGGACCTCAGCATCTCCTTCCAAACTGCATGAAGCTCCATCCTCCAAAAACTTGGTGACATCCCTTGCCACAACGCTCACCCCTTCCAACATCCCATTTAGTCCCGAAGGCCACACCTGGGGTCTTCCCTCCATCCCTTGCTCTATTCCCAGTTTTCATCCTCACTCGCTAAAAGACGTGCTGAACACTCTCACCTCCTTCCCACACCACCCACTGGCACCCAGCACCATGGGCGATACGGCACGTGCCCTGGCTGCTGCAGAGCTGCCGGCAGCCGGGTGACCACCCAGCTTTTGCTCTCTGCCTGCTGGGTGGCCAAACAGAAATGGTGAGTTTTACCTGTGATTCTGTCTGTGGAAGCGGCAGTAAAGTCTCTCTCCTCCTCCTGCTAATTTTTACAAGGTTTGTAAAAACAGAGCAACTTTCCAACTTCAACCCTATCAGATGTGGTTTACAGCAAACAGACTGACAGAAAATGCATGGGCAGAGTTATTGCATAAGGTTTGTTTCCTTAGGAATTAGACTAAATATGAGGCAAAACTTTAAGTTTGTAAATAGGTACTAAGTGGATCAACTTTGGGGCTTTGCTACTCTCCTAGTTGCATTTAAAATGTTGCAAACTATTATTTACAAAAAAAGTAAACATAATTTTTAAAAAATCATCTTATTTTAGAAGGTCACACAAAATTATTTGGTTACCTGTAATTAGGAACTAAATTAATTACAAATATTACAAAATTTTTGCATAATCCTTCTCCTAGCCCTCCAATTTCATGTGACTACACTAAATTTTGTATTAAAAACTCAACTTTGGCAAGCATCCGAGTCCAAGCTACCCATGAACAGAGTGCAGTTTTGCCCCATGTTTATTGGAAAACTCTTTCTTTGAAGCATATTTTTGACAAGTCAAACAATCATCTACTGCATTTCACTGCATTACAAAGTAGTACCTTTGAAAACATTTGTAGTGTGTACTTGAATACCTCTTGTATCTTAGTATAGGTACCATGCAGCTCTTCCATTGTCTTGGAAATAGAGAAGACCAAGCAACAGCTGATTTCAGAAACAAGCCCTGCTTCAAAGTCCATCCCCACTGAAATCAATAGGGCTAACAGTGAATTCACCAGGATCCGAAGCTGAACCTAACTGCTCATCTGTTACAGCTGCCAGGGCATCAGCCACCCATTTTTTTTATGACACCTGTTTTGTCCAGAGTGGAACACTTATTCAGATTCTTCTTTCTGTAGACTGAGAACATTTCCAAGGGACTAGACTGTAATGTAGTTATGACTGTATGACTCTACAGTTGTCATAGCAGTAAAATGAGAGTAGTATGTTGTTAAAAAAAAATATCTTCAACGACAGCTAGCACAGACCTAACAAAGCAGTTAGAAATACTGAGTTACCACATTTGTAGGCCCTTTGGAGAAAGGCCAGTGAAGAGTTACCCATGGTAGATTAGATTGCCTTCTGAACTGCTGTACTTACAGTTGTTTTCATCTCTGAGCAGTAGGAGCCTGACTGTCCTTCTTTCCTGGAAAACCTCTTTTCCTGTGCCTGCTCAGTACTGGCTCAGCTGGCTGTGCCGTATGGGACAGAGAGTTACGTGGTATTCACTGGATAGGGAAGTTTTCAAGAGTTTGTTTCCTTATACCCTTAAAAGGTATCCTTAAAAGGTTGTGTGTAATTCAAATTGGGGTTACGGAGCAAAAATAGGAGAGGAAGTGTTGCTGGTATGTGGTTTGGACCAAGGGTAGCAAACTTCTGTAGTAACACAGCTTGTTCCGTCATGCACACAACCAAACTCTGACTTGAAGTTGCACGTAACAATTACTCAGTATTTAAGCTATACTTTCCTACCAAGCACTTCTCTTTCAAAGCAATTTCCCTGCTTCATGCTGCTATAATGTGGTGAAGAGATATAGCTCACAACTGAAACGCCAGGCACAGTAATCTGCCTCTTTAGCAGTACTTATTGACTTAATAACAAATTTACTGTTTTTAAGACCTTTGTCTAGCTAGTCTGCCAGCCTTCACAGCGTTTGAATTTGCCATGAGAATAGCAGAGAGAATAACTTCTCTCCCATGCAAGAAGGTGTTATGAAAATGGACAAGGTGCTGAAAACTTAGCAAGTCCTAATAATCCATCCTTTTTCCAGTGCAGATGATGTTGTGGTTTGATGCCTTGAGACGTTTATGCTTCTCTTGGTATAGCAAATACCAGCCAAACATTTCACATTCCCCAACTCACAAGCATACTGCATTCAAATCAGAAACATAATATATAAGAGAAAGTACTGTGAATTTTGCTCAAGTCCATTCTCACCAATGGGACTATCAATGAATGTCACTGTGTAAGGATTTGTAAAACAGAATCTTTAATTCTAGTAAAGACAGGATTTTCTCTGTTGAAACCAAAAATAAGTAAAATCCAATTAAGACAGAGAAGTAGGAAATTTCCATTCCAAATATAGGCAGGTAGAACCTTTTCCACTATAATTTAAAAATTGCTTGCTTCAGTCCAGGAGTGATGACAAGTCCTAGGTTTTTTAGGGGAAGGTTGGGAAGGGGAGAGGGTTTGGATTCACTGAAATGGTAAATTAAAATACACACAACATTAAAAAGTTATGCTAAACATCATGCTTTTTATTTTTGGGGGAAGAGCAAGAAAATAGCAGTACTTCAGCAGACTAGAAAAAGCGTCATCTAAGTATCAAAAGCACAGCAAATTATATTCAAAGCTGATACATTCTTGAAGTCAAAGCATAAAGTTGTATGTACATATGTATGTATATATACTCATACATATATACACACATACGTACTTTTTAAGTATAGATGTAGCCATTTGGATTATCAGTGTTTGCCTATCATTCATTTTAGTTTTAGTTCATTACCTTGAGTGAAGTAATCGGACCAGAATTAACATTAAAAAAAATCCAACCATTGCCACAGACTAGATAGAGAATTTACACACATGCACAATTACAGCACAGTCTTTACTCCTGTGGCCTTTAAATTCCGCTAAAATAAGCCGGTTTTACAGGGAATGCACAAAAACTCCACCCTGGTAGTCTCTTGGCTTTTATCACTGCAACATCCTAGCCTTTGCTAAAAACTAAGCGAGGAGCTACCCCAGAATGTGATCTCCAATTCTTTCTGTAAGCTGTATGCATGCCAGACATGAACCATGCAGAAACCCTTTGAGATTTAAGCCCTTAATTATTAGCTTGTGTCAAGATTCAGGCACTGTGCTTTGCAGCAATCTTGAAAGTTAAGAAATTAAAATCGTGTTGGGAGCTGATTTTACTTAAAATAGAGAAGGGTGAAGACTCAGATAGTTGGCAACTCTCATTTTCCAAGCTGATTAAGCATTGCGTGTACACACTATGAAATAATAAAAACTTAACCAAGTGCTTTAGTAAGTTCTGAAAACAAAAATAAGTTACATTTCAAAGAACAAGTTAGTATAAAAAGTTTTAACATATGCAAAGTATGTGCTCAAAATACTTATTTTGCATTTTTAAAAAGAGCTGTAGTCTACCTTACAGAAACAAAGTTCACCCAGTATAAAATATTGCAATTTGTCCCATTTTGTCATATGAGATTTCCTTATTCTTCATATGATTGAGAACACTTGCACAAGAGTTCATGGTATACCAAGCCACATAGTGGCAGACAGACTATGTTTGAATCTGTGCTTTTACTATGCAGTGCAGTAAAAGCTAAGCAAACCATTTCAGAACAGAGTTTAGCGGGTCAAAGAGCTGTGTTGATGCGAGAAATCCAGACCATAGTATAAAAGTTAATGCCAAGTGGCAGTACCAAGAAAATGTATTAGATCAACAGAAAAAAAACTGCTGATAACATTCACTATCACATGTACAGCTTGTAAGCTAGGAATAAGGAAAAGTCAAAATTAGCTTAAGGAAAAAAAAAATTTTGTAATTGTGTAAACAATCCATCCAGCACAAAACTGGATGCAGGTGACAGGAGCAGAACTAGCTCAGTAGAGCTCAGAATGTGCGTGCATCCAGATGCCTGTTCAAAATCCATTTATCAATACCGTTGGAAAAAAAAAATCACCTATAGCTATTTACACGACAGCGGAGGCTTCCCTCCCCCCTTGCAAAGTTATAACTCAGGAAGTCATTGCTTTCTTCTACAATTAAAATTCCAGTTATAAGCTACCAATGTTCGCAAGTTGAAAACACCCACCTTGAAAATTAAATTGAAAACTCTTGTCAAGCATGTTTGAGGACTCTTCAAAGTTAGAGTACAGCACTCTCCTCAAGTGGTATTTGCATGAGTAACTTGTACTGACAGCCTGTTAAAATAAGTGAATTTAACACAACTCGGGGTAGCTGGGTGTTCCTCCTCAGGAAGGGGGATCCATACAGATTCCAGTCGTTCTTGCTGAGGTGTGTTACAGAGAGAGAAGGACAAAAGAACCTCGGTCAGCCTGGAGGTGAATCTTCCTGCTTCTAGAAGTATTCCTCCTCTTCATCAAAAAAACCATTTTCCAGAGCGTACGTGCAGTCTGCGTTAGAGTCAGCTTGGCAGGCACCTTTGTATTCTTGAATCGATTCATACAGGGAGTACAGCTGACACAGTAATGACATATCCAGCTGCCGAAGGCCAACCTGAGGGGGAAGAATTCAAACAAACAAACAAACAAACAAACAAACAGTATTACAATTGTGATTTTACTGGCAGTATAAAGCTATATATATATTTCATCACTAAACAAGAGGATCAAGCTTCTTTCTACCTTCAACAGTTATGAAATATGGAAGTATAGTTCACTTTCTAAGGTGACAGACTCCCCACAGGATAAACTGGAAAAAAAGAACAAGGAACAACGTGACGCAATACAGCAGCACAGTGTTCTTCAAGATTTTGTCATATTACAACACCCTGCTTCACTTCCAGCAAGCAGTTCACTCCTGCCTGAAGCATTACAGATAAATTCATGAACTGTATTCCTCATTATGCAAGAGACATACTCTTCCAGTAACACCGTGTGTCTTTCACACATCTTTCTGACATAGTTATCATAGGTTCTCAGTTTTTGTTTAAAACAGCCTGGATTAAAAGTTGAAAATGGAGCTCTGGCTGCTTTTCCACTTCAGGGCTAAGTATCTTCTACTATCGTTTTCTTTTCTGTACCGTCATACATAGGCATCTGACAAGGCTAGCTATGTCTAGCACAATACAGCATGCTACTTGAAGGCAGCAAAAGTAAAGCCAAAGCGAGATAAGGAATTACACTGTCGCCTACAAATCTTCAGAATATTTTCATGTGCTCCTCAAGCATAGGCTTGATTTACAATAAGGCACCTAATATTTTGGTCCCCAAACTTCTAAAATATTAGTTCCAGAGCTAATTAAAGATTTGGAGCAACATTAAAAGAAAAGGTTATCTTGTAACCTGCATCTTTATGTCAGGTACAAAACCAGTACATGGCACCACAAAGTAAAATAAAGCTAGTCATTTAACTCAAAGCAGTTTCCCTCTCTGGCAACAAAATGGAGAATTCATTTCATATTGTCACCTATCCAATTCAGATCAAACTAAATCTAGCTTTTGTTCCACAGTAAATTAAAACCACCACCCAATTCAACATTTTCAAGAAGCAGCAATTTCTGCCTAAATTTTCAAGTAAGTTTTAAGCTGACAGGCTGTTCATAGTGAGCCTCAGTTTCATCAAATAGAAGTTTTTGCTACAACTCATGTTCAGAGGAAAAAAAAAAAAGCATGTTGGTAGCCTTTACTGCAGCCTGAACACCAGGCTACATTTTACTCAGAATGAGAACTCTTACCTCAAAAATATCTCCTTACATGTCTAAAATTCTAGGGACAGATACACTTAGCACGAGAAAACCACAAAAAGCTAGCATGAAGATCTTCGTTGGCATGGCTGAACTATCCTACCAGATCCTTTATCTAAAGGTAGAAGGAAGAGGAAAAAAAAAGCATCACACACCACAATGCCATTCCAACTTAGGAAAACAGGATAGGGCATCTTTCAGGAGCAACACAAGTTACTTGGTGAGGTCACAAAGCCAAGACATGATGTCCCGTACAGACTGAACATGAGGACTTTAGGAAAAGACATGGAAGAAGACGTGGGATGCTGCACTAGCTGCCAGGAGGTTACAGACAAGCCTTTCCACCACCTAAGATCTATGATGCTTTTCTTATCCATCTCTTTTTTCCCCCGTAACAAACACGACAACTTTCTCGCCCTTGTTGTTTAAGCATACACTCTGCAGGAAGCATATGCTACTCTTCCTTGCTCTCTACTCTGCAAGAGGAAACCGGCACTTGTGCAAATCTCCTTCTGCCAAAATCTGTATAACAAAAACCAACCAAACAAAACAAGACTGCAGGAAGGAAAATAAAAGGGAGGTAGTTGTACCATATCCAGACCCCTCTCCATCTAGCCCTGCTAAAGTAACTTCTTCAGACTTCTTAAGCTAATGACTTAGCCCAAGAATAGACCTGCCCAAGAATAATGTCTGAACATCAACCTGTGGAGATGGCAGTTGATGAATTTTGGCTTGCCCCACCTAAACAAGCTGCTCGCCTCAGGTACGAAAGGACGCTGTGAAGCTGGACTTAACACTACGACATGCAAACATGAGACCCACCAGGCAGACTTGCCTAAGAGCTAAGTATTTGAAGGACAAGGCTGCAGTGAAGAACCCTTCAAATTGCACTTAGGAGTGAGTTGAGCCAGAAAACTCAAACTGGAGATAGATGACCAGTTCTTCATCTGCTGAGGAAAGTGGGAGCATTTTCACCAGCAGCTCTCCTCTTTCAGCTCTGTAAAGGACTTCAGTGCTTTTTGTGAAGATCAGTTCTACGCCAAGTGCAATCTCCCAAGATAGAAGTCACTCAGCAGAATTAACTTAGCAGGTCTTAACACCAAATAGTAACACTCAGTATCTTATTTTTCTGTAACTGCCACTAGTGTCAAACAATCAAACAAGAACAATAAGTCTGTTGAGAAAAATGCAGCCTCTAGCCCTTTGCAACTTCCAACTATGATCCCTGAGGTAGCAAAAGCCTGAAGAAATGTCCAAGTCCGCTAGCACAAGCATAAAGTTTTTAATCCCAGCCAATCTGCATTTGACTCTAGAGTCTTACCATAGCACCTACAAAACAACCCATAATGTACAGTCCTATGCAATCAACTCTTTTCCTCAAGAGATCACAGTTCTGAAGTCACCTCTCCTTTCATCCCTCCCCACTCTGAAGCATCTAAATCCAAAACCTTCTCATCTTTAAAAACTTATATACACATAGTACCTTGCTTGATCATGCAGGGAGAGTTGCTGCTATGCATTTCTTCCCCATTCACTATTGAAAAGCTAAAGCAAGCTTGTTACTCAGTAGAAATGCTATCTTTGGTGGAAGAAAGTGTGTTCAATATAAATTAAAGTGCTATTACCTACTTGATGAAAGGCAGGCTATTTGTACGCAAGAGTCTCTCTAATTTGTACAGGCCACAAAAAAGTACACCTGGAACCAAGGAGACTGTTGCTTGAACGTCTTTGATGTGTTCAGAGGTATTTTTTTTTTCCTTCAGAAGTGTTTTATCAAATTATCATCAAGGATAACAGTATCAAAGGGGAAGTCTAGTTGTCAAATGACTTTAACGAGCATCTCATTTCACCTTCCATTAGGAAAAATAGATTAGACTTTTATAACGAGTTATCTTTGCTTTTTTGGGAAGGATTAAGATGACCAGGATCATATCCTTGTTTCCCCTCAGAGCACTAGAGAAAAAGCCCCAGCGGTCGATAGCCATTTGCGCTTCCAGTGCTTCGGTGCAAACTAGCAACTCTAATACAGTTTGAGATACTCATAAAACTCTGTATCTGAGCTACTTGTTGAAACACTGGCGGCAGACTAAGATTTCAGCACGCTACATTGTCCTTCTAAATCCACAGACAGGTCTTTCAACAGAGTTTCTTGTGCTCAAACGTCTTTTTACCATGAGAAAAACAGGCAGATCTTCAGCAATATCCTATTTTATAAGCTTCAGAATACTAAGTGTACAATGGTGAGGTTATTATTAGCCATTACAACTGCAGCTGGCACCAACAAAGCACCAACACCCAAATTAGCGTTTAATCAAAAGGTGCGCCAGGTCGCCCGGAGGGATTTCATTAATAACGCCGCGCTACAAAATCAAAACAAAGTCCTGAAGAAAACTATGTTTAATCGCACTTCATTTGACCTGAATGAATCAGTGCTGATACTTGTTTTGTCTTTCTTAACGACAGCCTTTTAAAATGGGTGGCAGGTTCAAATGGATGCCACTGCACGAGGCGCTCGTTAAACGGCTCTCAACCC